CCCCATCTCCAGCACAGTGACCATGGCGGGGTGGGTGTCCAGTCGGAAGGTCACCTGTGAGCAAAGCAGGGGGTTGAGGGTGATAGAGGTTCCCAAGGTGAGAGGGCCAGGAGCTGGCAGGATCTTAACCAGGGGTGAAGGTCACCCAGACCACAAGGTAGCAGGCAGGGAGGGTCCCAAGGACTCCCCTGAACCAGCGCTGCTCTGCCATCCTCCCCACTGCCCACTAACCAGTAGGCCCTGAGCTGCTGCCCCCAGGAGCTGCCCAAATTCATCCTCTGCTCCACGCCCGCCACCCAGCATGAGGCCCCTCCTGCAAGTGGCCCTGCATGAGACACTCATTTCCCTTCTTGCTCTAAGCTAGACCAGTGATGGCGGTGGGGGGGAGGACTTAGCTCTCTGAAGCCCACCCAGAACCCCCGACTAAGAACCCAAGTGAGAATGTGAGCTCCTGAGGGGTGGGGACTAGGATGGCTGGCTGGGGCTGCTGGTATTTCAGTTCTCAGCTCCCACCTACTCTGTAGCAGCACCGGGGAGGGGTTGGGCGATAGGATGCTGCTGCCTTCCTGCCTCAGCGGCTCCCCACCAGGCAACACATGTGCCAAGCAGGGACCCCCGCATGGTCTCCACCTGACACCATGGGCTTCTACTGCTGCTGGAAGGACACCTACCAGGCCACCAGCTGGGAGCCACCAGCTGGCCAGTCTGGTAAGAACACTGAGGGCCACAATGGCAGAGTGGTGGTCCGTCCCCAGGAAAGCCTCACCTTCACATTGGTGACACGCGACCCCAGCACGTTTCTCATCCAGGCCATGAGCTCCTCCATCTCCTTCTCCGACAGGTACTCGGCAGCTGCGGAAGAGAAGGCGAGAGTGAGCTCAGGCCTGCACCCCTACTCCCCAGCTTCTAGGGGGGCCGTGCAGCATCCTGCCAGCTCTCCCACCAGGATGGAGACAGAAGCTAGCAAGATGATGCTTTTCACCTAAAAGTAAAACCTCAAAGGATGCTTCGGGTTGCCTGACGCCCATACAACTTAGTTTGGGCTTTAAAAAGACGATTCGATCGGGCGCAGTGGCTCACACCTGTAATCCCAGCACTTTACGAAGCCAAGGCGGGCGGATCACTGGAGGTAAGGAGTTCAAGACCAGCCTGGCCAACATAGTGAAACCCCGTTTCAACTAAACACACAAAAGATTAGCCAGGCGTGGTGGCATGTGCCTGTAGTCCCACCTACTCAGGAGGCTGAGGCAGAATGGCTTGAACCCAGGAGGTGGAGGTTGCAGTGAGCTGAGATCGCACCACTGCACTCCAGCCTGGGCAACAAGAGCAAAACTCTGTCTCAAAAAAAGACAATTCATGGCTTCTCAGGAAGTTGAGCCAGCTCCAGAAGCCACCATAGCGGGAGCACTGGACAGACCCCTGGTATCTAAACCAGGGGGCACCTCCCTCTAGTCACCAGGGTGCTCCTACACAGCTCCTCTCGGAGGCGGCTGAGCCCAGATCAGCTGAGAAAAACTCCAGGGAAGCCCCCACTGCTAAGCAGGAGAGGCGTGCAGGATGTAGGCACCAGCTGCCTGGAGAGCAAGGGATGCTAACCTGGGGACCCATCCTCAAACTTCTCCTCCTTGTAGTGATCCACGACAATGTCCGTCTCCACGGAGATCAGCTTCTTCTTGTCAAACTCACGAAGGTGCAGCAGCGTGAGCTCATCAAACTGCTCATAGCAGAAGAGAACCTGCGAGTGGCCAAGAGGGGGTCCATCAGACCACCCACCACAGAAGAGAGGATGTGGATGGCGGGAAGGCTGGAGAAGCCAGGTGGGCCACACTGGGGAACACCTGGGCTGCTGGGGTCCCAGGCCTGTGTGACAGTTACTGTGATACTTGGTTCTGAGAAAGGCTCTGACTGCCTTCAAGGCAGAAGCACTCCACACATAAAGAAATCTACATGTGACCTCCAAGTGAGAAACACAACTGTTGCAGTTGGTCCAGCCTCTGTGCCCATGACCCTGACTCGCTGTGCAGCCCTGAGCTGGGTCTTGGGCAGGTTCACCCAGCACAGAGCTGAGAAAGTCAAGACCGTCCCCAAGCTGCAGCCCCGGGAGCCCGTCCTACCCATGGCTCACCCACCTCTGTGTCTTTCTGCTTCATAGCCTCGTAGTAGGGCGAGTGCTCTGCCAGGTGCCGGTTGGGGGCACACAGATAATAGATGTTGCGGGTGCCAGCCCGCATGCGGCCGGCGTATTCCGAGAGGCTGGTTAGCTGCCCGGCCGGCAGTGCAGAGGACTCGTAGCGCAGCAGCTTTGCTATGTCCTCCTGGAAGGGACAGGGCAGGTCAGGCCCACAGGCTCAATGCCCCCCGAAACAGCTGGGCGCAAACCATCTGATGTCCATGGCGTCCTGGCACTCGGGCTGGCCCTGACCCCAGGGACTGTGGTGGACTTGGGGGTTGTCAGAGACAGCCCTTGCTTTGCCTGTCAGGCCCCTTCTGGGGCTCTGGGAGCATGGGAAGCACCTCCTGCGCTGAAGGGCCCAGGGGTTCTCCAGGCAGCTCCATACACCATGCCCTGGGCAGGCACCCTGCTCAACAGCACAGCCCAGCAGGGTGCCCATCTGCACCACTGTCACGTCAGAGGATGCCTCCATCAGCTTCCTCGGCAGCCGCAGGGACGAGGTGGCCCAGAGAGAGGCCTGGAACGCGGCTCGTACCTTGACCTCCTGCTCGGCAGTGGTCACAATGCCCTCCCGCATGAACAGGCCGTAATCTTCAAAAAACTTTGCATATTTCTCAGCATCTTTTTTACTCTGATCAACGAAGAATTTGATCAGCCTCTGCTGTAAAACATCCCGGAGTTTCCTACAGAAAAGAAATGCATTCAACACATATAAGCAGCTTCTATGAAATAGAGCCAGCAGTACGAAAAAATGTCCAGCCCCATTAAGAATCAAAGAAATGGCAGGAGGAGAACTGCAGCCCGAGAGACAGATACCCACGCCCGGAAAATGCTTCCAACCTCTAAGCCAGTTGTTCCAGTCCTGGGAACTGTACTTTAGGAAATAGAAGAGCACACCGAGATCTATGTATCAGGATATCACTGCGGCACATCAAATACAACAATTATGAACAACCTCATGTTCAACAAAAGAATACAGGCAAATTATGCAATGCTAAATGACTATAAAAAATCGCATCTTTTGGCAAGGCGTGGTGGCTCACGCCTATAATCCCAGCACTTGGGAGGCTCAGGTGGGCAGATCACCTGAGGTTGAGAGTTTCAGCCCAGCCTGACCAACATGGAGAAACCTCATCTCTACTAAAAATACAAAAATTAGCAGGGCGTAGGCCAGGCACAGTGGCTCACACTTGTAATCCCACTATACTGGGAGGCCGAGACCATCCTGGCCAACATGGTGAAACCCTGTCTCTTAAAAAAAAAGAAATTAGCCAAGCGTGTAATCCCAGCTACTTGGGAGGTTGAGGCAGGAGGATCACTTTAACCCAGGAACCAGAGGTTGTGGTGAGCCAAGATCGTGCCATTGTACTCCAGCCTGGGGAACAAAAAAAACAAGAAAAACCAGAAAAATCCCAATATGGATAAATTGTAGTGTATCTATAGATACAGGCAAAAGACTATACATTCTACATGTACATAACAATTTTTCATAATTAGAAGCAACACTGTCTATACTATGTACATACACTAATTTGGGATTTTTTTTTGAGACGGAGTCTCGCACTGTTTCCTAAGCTGGAGTACAGTGGCACGATCTCTGCTCACTGTAATCTCTGCCTCCTGCGTTCATGCCATTCTCCTGTTTCAGCCTCCCAAAGTAGCTGGGATTACAGGCCCACACCACCACACCTGGCTCATGCTTTTTGTATTTCTATAGAGATGGGGTTTCACTATGTTGGCCAGACTTGTCTCAAACTCCTGACCTCGTGATCCACCTGCCTTGGCCTCCCAAAGTGCTGAGATTACAGGCGTGAGCCACCACACCCTGCCTTGGATATATACTGAATATATGTACCCTGTAATTTTTCTGGTGGTGCACCACCAGGGAGCCAGCATGCCTGCCACAGCCAGGAGCACAGCTCTCTTCCTGAGGAGTGCCACCCCCCTGTGACTCAGTTCCCACAACTATGAGTGAGGACTCATGGTTCCCCTCACAGGGTGAAACAGGCAGTTATGCAGGCTCAGCAGTTCTCAGTGGAGAAGAAATACTCAATAAACACAGCTGCAGTGCATTCAGAATGGGAAGAGGAACACAGCCACCCGGGCGCAGGGACACCGGGAGCTCCCTCTCCACGCGACCCAGCTCCTGCTTCCCAGACAAGGTCAGACGAGTCCCCAGTTCCACAGGTGTCCTTTGCCTCATCTAGCCCAGGGACACTGCCTGGAACCTGCCCTCCCGTGGCCACTCCTGGGTGGGGTGATGGGGACAGACAAAGGGTGGGAAACTCCAGCACCAGCAATAATTTTCTTGCAGGTGCCAGCCCACGCCCTGTTCACTGAAGTGAGCTGAAACACGACAGATCATCAGGAACCCACAGGCACACTCGAGGCATACAGGGTCAATACACCGAAGAGCGCATCTCTAACGATGACAGAATGGTCACTGTTACGGGGTGGGGGCCCCACTGTCAGGAGCCAGCATGGCTGTGCAGGGGGTAATAAGGACTGAGGTCCCTTTTTTATTGATTATGAAACACCTGTAGTCAGCAGGGAAAATACCTTTTATACAATTAAATGTTAAATCCTCTGACCAAGTAACCCCACCCCTGGCATTCTATCCTAAGGAAATACAGCTGCAGGTAAAGATTTCAGAACAAAGATCGACATGTGCACTGCAGTGTCATACCAGCAGCAACAGCGAGATGGCCCGAGGGACTGCATCGGGAAACTACAGTAGGTCCTGGAATACCATGATAGCAATGAAATGTGCTTCCCAAAAAGCGACATGGCAAGTGCGGCAAATAAACTAGGTGGAAAACAGGCAACAGTGCTCGCGGCGACAGCACACACACACTAAAACTGGAGCGATACAGAGAAGAGTAGCATGGCCCCTGTGCAAGGATGACATGCATATTCATGAAACGTTCCATTTTTTTTTTTGTAAAAAAAAAAAAGAAAGAAAATAGGAAACAGAGAATATAAGCATTATGAATTCAATTGTGTGGGGAAAAAAATCTAAGTGGTCAGGTGCAGGGGCTCACACCTAGAATCCCAGCACTCTGGGAGGCTGAGGCCAAAGGATCACTTGAGCTCTGAAGTTCAAGACCAGCCTGGGCAACACAGTGAGATCCCAACTCTACAAAAAATACAAAAATTAGCCATGCAAGGTGGCTGGAACCTGTAGCCCCAGCTACTCGGGAGGCTGAGGTGGGAGGACTGCTTGAGCCTGAGACGTTAAGGCTGCAGTTAGCTATGACCACACCACTGCACTCCAGCCTGGACGACACAGCAAGACCCTATCAGTCAACCAATAAAACTATCACCGTGGCCTGCTTGAAAACAATCTCTGTGACTCTGCCTCTGAAAGTGAGTCAAGAGGAGGTTACTGCAGCCCCATGTGGCCTATGCAGGGCTGGGCATGAGCTCACCGGGCGGGAAACCACACTGCCCACTGTCTCCCCAGACCTGCTCCTGCCCACGGCACATGACAGACTGTGACTCCCTTGGGGTCAGTGTAGGCCTCTCACCATCACCACAGCTCGGCCCATACCCACACCAGCTACCAAGTCTTGTCCTCTATCCAACAAGCTGCCTCCACTCCAACTCTGGAAAGAAACTGGCGGTGGAACGCACTGCAGGCACATCGGGGCTCCAACAAGGCCCATTCCACGGCCCGCGGCAGGTGCTGGGCTGTTCAGAGACCTCCAAGGCAGCTGAGTACTCACAGGCTGTGACTCTGCCTCTGGCTACCTCTGAAGCCTGCCCTACTTGGCGGCCAATCTACCCACCCTAAACTGTCAACAGTGGTCATCTCTAAGTGAGAGCAGAGGTGACTTAAGTGTGCTCTAGTAAGGAAACGTTACTTGCATCAGAGGGAAAAAAAGCCATTTTGAATAAAGACTATCTGGTGAGCCTGGGGCCAGATTGGGGCAGTCAGAGCTACCAATGAAGAACTGGGAGCCAGGGCACTGGAGGAGTCCCCACCACACAGGGCAGGCCTGCTGCAGGGTCACAGTCACAACCCTGTCCTGGGGCACAGGTGGGCAGGTCTGGCTCTGCGACCCCTCCCCTGTGCAGACTCCAGCCTCGACAGTGACCAGCCACCCCCACGTTCTTCTGGACTACAGGTCTCAGAGGCCAGGCCAGCACCTGGAGGGCTCCTGAGGACCAGGCTTCCCCATCCACCTTGGCTCAGCTACATGGGCCATGGCTAGGGCCCTCTGGGGGCAAAGGAGCGGGTAGGGGCCTTGTCTCCAGCAGGGTCCTCTCCCCCCGGCCGAAGGCTCACCTGATGAGTGCACTCTCCTGCAGCAGCTCCCGGCTGAGGTTCAGGGGAATGTCCTCACTGTCCACCACACCTGGGAGACACAGCAGTCAGGTTCTCCCAGGGCCACTGTCCCTCCACACCACCTAACATTCCCCCATTAACCTGCCCTTCATCTTCACAACCTGCCTTCAACCCAGCACGTGTGCTAAGCGGGAAGCAGGGAGGCAGCACCAGCGGAGCTTCCTCTATGTCCTGCCACCTCCCAGAACAGTGACCCAGGCCGTGTGGGTGGCTGGGCCAGCCTTGGAATACACGTTAAAAATTAATTCTGGGATGGGCGCAGTGGCTCATGCCTGTAATCCCAGCACTTTGGGAGGCTGAGGCAGGTGGATCACGAGGTCAGGAGTTTGAGATCAGCCTGGCCAACATGGTGAAACCCTGTCTCTACTAAAAATACAAAAATTAGTCGGGCGTGGTGGCGTGTGCCTATAATCCCAGTTACTCGACAGGCTGAGGCAGGAGAATCTATTGAACCCAGAAGGTGGAGGTTGCAGTGAGCAGTGACAGCGCCACTGCACTCCAGCCGGGGTGACAGAGCACGACACCGTCTCAAAAAAATAAAAAAACATTAACTCTCAGGGGTGGCTTGCACCTCTGTGTGCCAAGGCTTAAATACTGAAGTCTTTCTTCCGCTATAATCTCACTCAAACGTAACAACTCACACATACATCTCAAACTCACACAGTATCCCCACACATGGAAAGACCTCAATCTGGACACCCTAGTGCTTCCTCCAAGATCAGCCACATGCACGGGGACGCAGGGCAGCTCCCAGGGTGTGTAAACACGGCTGCCACGCAGGCCCGCAGCGATGGGTGGCCACTGAGAACAGGATCAGCAAGGTGCCTCACAGATGCAGCAAGCAACACTGGGCCACACGGGCTCCGCTCACGGACTGGGGCTCTGGGCGGCGTACCTCGGATGAAGCGCAGCCACTTGGGCAGAATGTCTGTGGCCTTGGTCTGGATGAGGACTTTGCGGCTGTACAGTGCAACGCTGGAGCCCAACTCCCGGCTCACATCAAACACGGATGGTTTCTGGGGGTGAGGAGAGGATGCCATCATGCAGCACTGACTCTCCCCAGGCAGACCCTGGCTGAGAGGTGAGGGCGGACGTGACAAGTCCAGCGCCTGTTCCCCTCCTCACCATGCCTTCCCTCCCACGTCTGGTCTGAGCCAAAGCCCAGTGTCCAGGGGCCCCACAATGCTCCACACTGTGGCTCTGCAGGGGCCAAGGGTCTTCTCTGGCAGCTGTTGCTCTCCCCAGCCTACCCACTAAGGAGGACACAACAAAGTGAGCCTTGCACATACCCCTGAACACAGCCAAACCCTGCTACAGGTCAGAGGTCAGCAAAAAGCCCACTGGCCAAATCTGGCTCACTGACTACTTCTGTGTAGCCTGAGAGTAGTTTTTACACTTTCAAATGGTTGAGAAAAGATTTCAAAAAGTAACTCATGACATGTGAAAGAGATGAAAATTCAAGTTTCAGTGTCTACGCAGCTCACGGATCCCAGCCCTGTGTTGGGGGAGGGGGGGGGGCGGGCAGCATGAGTGGTGCCGTTTCCTCACCCTGGAAGCCAGGCATGAAAAGCCGGGGCCAGCTCCTGTCTGGGCCTCATGGAACATGGCTGCCTACACCTGCTCCACACTGGCAATTCCTGACTCAGGCCTTGCACCTTTTCATGGGGGATCCAATTAAAATGCAGGGGATCTAGTTAAAATGTGGGGAGACCTGGTTAAACTGTGAGGGGATCCGGTTAAAATGTGGGGAGATCAATTTAAAATGCCAGAGGATCCATTTAAAATGCAGGGAGATCTTGTTAAAATGTGGGCTCCCACTCAGGAGCTATGGGTGGGGCCTGAGACTCTAACAAGCCCCAGGAGACCACACCTGGGGTGGCTCTTTCTAAGACAGATGTTAACTTTGCCGGACATGACAAGAGTTCCAGGCAGACAAGGACAGGAAAGCCTGGGGGCGGGACAGGCTGGCTCTCAGCCCCAAATAGGTCTCCTTATGGCAGGGTTTGTGGAAGCTTCAGTGTGGTCAAGGGAACTGGGAGAGTCAGAGGGGACTTGAGGAAGCACAGAGCAGCCAGTGCAGCAGCAGACCACAGGCCCTTCCCAGAGCACCAGGTGGAACAGCATCCAGGCCAGTGAAGCAAGGCTCTGAGGGCCCCTCCCCAGGCATACCCTAGTCCACGAGCCCACACCCAGGCCTGCACTAAGACATCCATCAAGCCTTCCCTCGCCATGTGTGTCCCTTGTGAGAGAAAACCTCTGTGTCCACCCACCGAGAGGCATCAATTCTTTTGTTCTTTTTTAAGAGTTGTAGTCTCACTATGTTGGCCAGGCTGGGCCGAACTCCTGGGCTCGAGTGATCCACCCTCCTCGGCCTCCCAAAGTGCTGGGATGCAGATCGAGCCGCCGTGACTGGCAGAACCTGTTTCTTGTGCCATCATGCTGCCATGTTAATCATGTGACATCTGCAGAGCTGAAAGCCCTGTGGCCGTGGGGGAACACCCTGGCCCCAGGGGACAACAGAGTCACCCTGAGGGCTGTGGGCCTACTGCAGCACCTCACCGTGTCTGGAACGTAGAAGATGCTGCGGATGTTGAGGGGCGCGTCCGTCTTATAGTGCAGGGTGTAGCGGGGCCTGTCGTAAGCCTGTGCAATGTAACGGTAGAACTCCTCATGCTGCCACTCACCAATGTCCTTGGGGTCCATCATCCAGATGGCCTGGAAACAGAGATCGATGGGGGAGGGTGTCAGGTTTACCACATGTGTCTTCCTAACCATGACGCTGGCCTAAGCTAGTGCAGCATGTGTCCCTGGACAGGCTCCCAGGACAGACGGGTGATGGTCTCAGGTGTAGACCCCTCTCCAGCCCCACCACTAGGCTGTGCAGGGGAGACACACAGGGCTCTGGGGCAGGAGCTTCCCGGAGAGTAAGTCAGGAGGACTAGCAGGCCCTGAGGTGCCCTGTGGGAGAGAACGACACTGCCCAGCAGGGGTGGGCTGACCAATAAAATCTGGGCCATGAGAGAGAGCATGAGCCATGCTGCACCACGGCTGAGCCTCGAGGCGGGAAGCTGGTCACTGAGGACAGCGTGTCACGACTCCAACCAGGAGAAATGTCCGGAACAGGTGGCACAACGGACAGAAAGGAGACCGTGCCTGCTGGGGCTGGGGGAGGGGTGGCAGGGACAGCGCTGCTTTTTGGGGTGATGGGATGTTCTGGAATTGATGCAGAGTGGTTGCACATCTCTGTGGCTGCAGTGAACACCACTGGCTACATACTCACGGGGTGACCCAGATAGATGGGCATTATGCCTCAGTGAACCCTGGTCCCTGACCCCAGCTGCCCAGTGCACAGGGGCAGGGCTGTGGTAGGGGCTGGGCCTCTACCTCCTCCCCACACCCAGGTCTCATCTCCACAAAGCAGCTCACCCTGGGACTCTGGGCTGCATCCCCCAGGCTCATCTCTGCCCCCCAGCCCTGAAATGTACAGATTCATCACCATGTGGAGGAGCTTGGGGATCACCTGCAAGGTGTTCATCCGCCTTCCATTCAGGTACAAGGGGAAGCTGACAAAGTTGCTGTACTTCGTCA